AAAAATGGAAGTGAATGAACGTGGTGTGTTTAATATGTTACTGGCCTCATTCAGGCAGCGGTGAAATAATGGCGAGTTGAAGTTCAAACATAGAAAACAATTGGGATCTAAACCTGTATGAAATGTTAGCCTTCTCATATCAGAGCCAGGATTATTCAAAGGCTATATCCTTTGTCATTTTTTTCTGATTGAGAAATTGATGTGTATATACTGTACACTCTGTACATGCTGTCTTACCACATATACACTCAGCGAAATAAACATTGGCTGTGCTTGTTATGTGGGAGAATGTGCATGTAACAGTTTCAATATATGTTTTAAAATGGAAGTAATATCTGCATAGGAAATTATCAAACATGAAGTAACCCTGACCTGGATTCATTTATTGGACAAATACCTACATTAAAAAAATGAGTGTGCACAAATGAATATACTGTGCCCTAGATTACATCCCTCCTAGAAGCTCAGTGTTTCAGAAATCTGGGATGTGGAATGGGGAGGTTGGTAAGCTCAGGCAATATAAAAAACAAAATTAAGGTACAGAGGGTAAAAGATACACTTAGATTTTATTGACTGAAATTTACTGTGAAGAATTTACACACACCAATGGTATTTGAAGCAGCCCCCTTCCACACACAAAAAAGTCTTCCTGTCTGCCTGTTATGGCTGAAAATACCATTTTAGATCTCTGAGTTTTAATCAGAATGTTAACTTCTTTCATAATAAGTCAGAGAACGTAAGAGAAAACCAAAAGATCTGTCTCCTCTCTACCTACCTACCTACCTACCTACCTACCTACCTACCTACCTACCTACCTACCTACCTACCTACCTACCTACCTACCTACCTACCTACCTACCTACCTACCTACCTACCTACCTACCTACCTACCTATCCACCTTCTGGTCTGTTTTTGCTTTTCTGCCTAGACTTACCATACCTAGATTCTCCTTGAGAATGTGGCTGTGGGGACTGTAATGCTAAACTGCTATACTTCAAATGTTACCAGTACATGACTAGAATGGAGATCTGTGGCATCTGCGCTGTGTCTCCTCTTGTCACAACATGGCCTTTCTTCAATGATATATACACTGTAGAGGGTGAAAGTCAGCAGTGGGATATTTCCTCTACCTGCTAAAGTTTTCAGTGCGATATGATAAAGGGTGCAGGCCAGTGAGTCCCTGTTCTCCATTCATTGCAAGGGGCCTAGACTACCTGAACAAAGTTTATATGTGTGAGTGCACATCAGCTAGTTAATATGTCTTGCCAGCACAAAATAAACCAGTTCTTCTTCACTAAACTTAGAAAACTCAGATTTCCAGCCAGTTATATCATTTGTTCAACCCTCTGTCACAACAAACAATATGCCTCCCCCCGCCTTCCATTTTGTTTTGTTCCTACTTCATGTCTCTATGGGATGAGGCTAAACTGTGCTCTCCTGGGCTAGTGGTGACACAAGAAGTGTCTATTTCTGTTGCTTGAAGGCAGTGAGATTAATTGTTTACCTCACGGCCTATCGCCTGTTCTCCAGCAAGAGAAGGGCGGTGAACTCATCCGTTAGCATTTGACCTTTTCCAGCCAACCTTGATACCAGGTCAAAACATTGTAAAGTGACAGCAACCTGGATGGACAACTTCATGGGACACTGCAATGGTAAAACAGATGAAGGTGCTAAATCTCATCTGTCAACTGCTTCTGACGTAATAATGTGGAAGTGACTTCCTATGCTGAAATAATGACTCTTTTCCCTCCATTTCTAAAAAATGTCATGACAGCCAGTTCTTCCCCATCTAAACTGCTGCTACTAGCATTTAAATTTCTGCAGGCAAATGCCCGTCACCAGAGTTGCTCCACAACTTTGCAGAATGATCAGGGCCACTGTGACAATACTGCAAATTAACTGTTAGCAATGAGAGAAATAGATGGCAGGAAAGATGGCATCTTCATGTTGGGTGGTTTCTAAATATGTTTAAGCTGATATATGAAATAGATGGCATTTCAGGGGGAAAAAGGTGAGACCAAATGGGTGAGATTCCTAATTGAAGAGAGACATTCCAGAGCAATCAGTAGATTACATTTCATTTCCTCTGTCCTTTGGTGTTTAAAACATTTTGCATGCTTTAATCATGGCTGAATCCAAGAGGCAGCCATCTTTTTTGAGATTAACATGAAATGTACATGTCTATAGGTAGTTCAGGATCTTAAACATTAAGTGAAGGTGTGACTTACTCTGTACAGACTAATCTCTGCTGATAGACTTTCAAACAATTCTTTTCATTTGAATTTGTTTATGTTTTTGACTGAGAGTCATCAGGTGATGGGAATGTCAGTGCAAATGAGCCTTTAATTTGAACTGTTTGAGGAACGACTGGATGACAGTATTATTTGTCTGTACGTCTCAATTTCTGAACATTATTGTTCATTTTGATGGGCCTGAAAAAATCTCATAATTTTTAAAAAATAAATCTTTGCTGGCTAAATAATGGTTTCTTCTTTTGAATATATAAGCTTGTGTGAGCTGTTTCTCATAGTGTTTTAATTATTGTTTTTGATTATTCAAAATTCTATTGAAACAGTTGATATGAAAAAGAATATTCAATGTCATGTTAAAATTCTGTGTCTGCTTAACATGTGAACAAATACTACTGACTGTAGTGGGACCTCTGTTCTGAGTAAATATGTACAGTAGTTTTGATAGCAATGCTAACATAACAAGTAATGATACAAATACATGTATATTAGCTTCTCAGTACTTGATGGAACAAGGTTTAAATTTTCCTGCAGAGTATAAACACTGTTAGAGGAAGGGCTAAACTTTCCATAAGGTTGTTTGTCCTTTTGAACCGGTCACGGCAGCTAATATGGAGAAAAGCTTATACACATGCTCACACGCACACATACAAAGACACTATTTAAAATCTTTGTCACTGGTACAGCCAAAGCATTGGGATCGCTTAGAGATAATTAGGCATACATTTGAGATGCAGCGCCACCTTTTCCCTTTCAGTGACATTCTATTTTTGAACTTTGCCTAGAACAATGGAGCTATTCTGTCTAGAATCTTTCGGAAAACAAACAGTGGGATACAAAACTAATAGTACATGTGCATCTCCTGTCACCACCCCTTAAAAGCAGATTTCTCTCCCTAAGGACTTACTGATACAAATCTGTAAGATGGTGATAACAAGCTATAGATCAGAAAGGAACAAACACTCATCCAGAAGATGCTGCTCAGTTTGCATGGGAAGCTACAGAAAGTCTTGTGACCATTTCTCTCTTGTCCTTTCTGCTTACTTTCTTCATCTTCCTCATCTCCTTATGTTGATTGTTTTTAATTGACAGCATCCACAGGAGTCTTGAACAAGAAAATAGCTTAGTTTTTACAGCAAACTTGCATTTCAGAGTAGACCACCTGCCTTACAAGCTTTTTCTTTTTTGGTGAGTGTCATGGTCAAGCTTCCTTGAAGTGCAACCTTTGACATATCTTTGAAGTGAAAGAGAGCTAATACTTCAAAAGAAATGGTCACTTCACCTGCTCTCAAAACCAAAGCATTTTTCAGCGACAGGGAACAGTCCAAGAACTGCAGCGGGAGTGAAAAAGCTGTTCTTTTAGTCTTCTGTGTCTTTTTATTGAATGAAGAGAAGAGAGAATTAGTTTTTACAATGCTTGCGGAGAGGAAAGGGGACAAAGCCAGTTTGGAATCAAGCAGAATCTTGGAGGCTCTCTGTGATTAAAACAACAACAACAAGCCACTCTGTTGACAAGTCGGGAGAGGAAGGAAGTAATGTGGAATTAATGTGCATGTTTATTACACACAAATCTGTCTTGTAGTTTAAATGATAATCGTGCACCGTCAAGTCAATTCTGGTTTTCCAGGAAGAGTACTCAGAAGGAGTTTGCCATTCCCTTCTTCTGGGGGCACTCTGGGACTGTGCAGTTTGCCCAAGTCCACATAGTCTGGTTCTGTCCACAGGAGGGAATCAAACATCCAACTTCTGGCTCTGCAGCCAGATACCTAAACCACTAGTTTTACACAGAGAGAAACCAAGTGGAGGCGGTCTGACTGCCTTGAGAGATTGGAGATACTGCTAGATGTTTCACCATCCTAATGAAGCAATTTATTCTGACAAAGCCTCCATGACAACTCTGTGAGAAAGTGGTGTGTTTTTTTCCTTGTCACATAAAATCGGTGAGCTTTGTATTTAGAATGGAATGCAACTTGTTTCTCAGCGTTTTTGAAACATTTGGATGCCAGTCCCAGAATGTGGCAGAGTTAGCAATAGGTGTGTTTTATTTTATCACCAGTCAGGGAAGCACTTGGCATGTTGCTTCATTTGACTGTGATTGGATTTCTCCTTTATTTCTGCATTTGTATTTCCAGTGCCCTGTGCAGCTCAAGGTGAACCAAATGGAGAGTGGCAATCAGTTTAAAAGCAAAATACAAGAAAATGCAGTAGGAAATGTAATGCTCAGGAATTTCATCTACAATGAAATTCAACAAACTATAGTGGGATAAAGAGTGTTATCTGGATTCCCTCAAGAGTTTCATGACAAACAAAGCAGATGTGTTGTGCTTTTTAAACATATATGTGTATCTGTTTATGCGTTTGAGAAAATAGATGAGTAGAAAAGAGAGATTCTTAGTTATTATTTGTAGTATGAGCAAAAACCGTCTGATATCCTGTGGCTGAAAATCAGCAGATGTGTTTCTGTGAATAAATACATTACATTCAAGGGCAGCTGTATGTGTTTGAAATAATTTGTATTCTCTTAAGGTAAGTGGACCTTTTAAAAATAAGTTATCCATAAAGATATAGAACCTTTCATCTTTCTCTGTGCATGTGTGTGATGTTGTTTCATGATGCTGTTATTCAGATATAATAATGTGTAAAACTAGGAGAGGCTACTCTTAAAATTTGAAGTACTGATTTTAAATAGATGAACCATTCAGCTATTTTCCATGTCTCCCTCTCCCCTACCCCACATTGCATATTTGCAGCAGAAAGTTACAAGGAATCCCAGACAGTAAAAATTAAAGAAGAGCCAATGGAAGTTGATATTCATGATTCCCAACCCTTGGTGTCACCCAGCCAAAACATCAGTTATAGCACTTTACTCAGGCAAGAGGTAACGGAACACATACAAAAGATACCAGAAAGCCGAGTGCTCCCTGAGAGAAACCTCTTCAGCCAAGATATATCAGTGAAGATGGCTTCAGAGCTACTTTTTCAATTGTCAGGTAAATAATGTAGTTGGGGGCTCACACTATGCTTCTCTGATTTTCTCACATTCTGAAAGCTGTACTATTTGAACTAAGACCGCAGGTTTAACAAGACTTGCTAGAGCCTTAAGGTTACAATCCTGTATGCACATTCTTGGGAGGAAATCCCGTTCAACTCAGTGTGGCCTACATGTGTGTAGTGACATATATTGGGATAGGCAAGCTGTTGTCCACCAGATCCTTTTGAAGTAAAACTCCTATGAATGCCAGCCAGGATGGCCAATAGTTGTTGAAATTGTAATCCAAAACATCTGGAATGCACTGTTTTGTTTATCTCGATGTACAGGATTGCATTGTCAAAATACAGGGGGACATTTCTATATAACTGTGCTTAGGGTTATAGTTAGAAGTCTAGAAAAATAACTGCAGCAAAATGTCAGAAATTCTTTTTCATATTAAAGATTAACCAGAAATTCAAAGTGAAATCCTGTTAATGAGCTTGTGAGTCTAGTTGTATTCAGGTGATGAGTTTAAATTGGACCTATAGTACAGCCACACCAGGGCTGGGCCAAGTTGTTTGCCTGTCCAAGGAAGAGCAGCAGATAGTACTCTGTAGCCATGAAAGTTACAATAGTAGTTAAAGCAAGTCATTTAGTTACATTAGGCAGAAAAGATAGCAAGTAACTCTCCCCTTCTTTGGCAATAACAATACAACTATAACAAATTAAATCACTTAACATTTGGTTGCCCTTTCATGAGACCCCAAATCTGTTGACTAAAGCATTTGCCTTACTCATCATCTGTCCAATGATGGTGTGGGATCTGGCCATCACAATGATACAAGTAGCATTTTTTGTATCATTTTGTCCCCTGACACACCATTTGCCTTTATTTATTTTATTTATTTATTTATACCATCACAATGATACAAGTAGCATTTTTCATATCATTTTGTCCCCTGGCACACCATTTGCCTTTCCAGAGATTCAGCAGATACTCCATGGCCCTTCCTGTCATTGGACCTCCAATGGAGAAAACTTGCCATAGAAACCGTTTCTGTTGCTCCCTCAAAATTTTGAATAAGAATGTTTCAAGTCATGACAGGAGTGCAACATTTGAACTGGGTGTGGAGAACAAAACATCATTTTTTAGAACCATTAATTTTTTCTGCCCTCTGCTAGGCACACTTTAAAGAAAAAATAAAGATGCACTCCAGCCCTAGCAGCTTTCTGAGAAGACAGCTCATTTCCCCAGTAGTCATCTCTTCATACAGTACCTTGGAGCAGGAATGACTATGCATGCCATGGTTGTTTCTTGACCACTTCTGCTGCACTGTGGATATGGGGATACTGTTGCCCCACAGTGACAGTCACGTGTCATAGATTCTCTTTTGCATTTCTTTTTCCTTCCAGTCTCGAAGCCAGACTTCCCCAGCCTCATTCCTGTGAGACATTACAGACTACAACTCCCTTAGTCCCCAGCAGGCAGCCTCGTTGGATAGAAATGATAGGTGATAGGAAGAGGGATGCGAATCGAATGTGGCTAGATTCTTAGTATTTATTTCCTCTCCCATCAAAACAGTTCTGGCTGTCTCTCATAAGCCTGCTTTTCAGAGCATAAAAGCATCAGAGGATGCCACCTAGAGAGAGTTTACCATTGAAACTGAAAACTGCACTGAAAATAGAACCAGGGAACAAATTCATGTTTTATCGTAAGAGGGTGGTGGGAACATCTGAATAAGGTGATAAATCCAAACAAATATGTGTTCCGCTTTGAAAATGATCCAAACTAAAACTTCCTATGTGAGAAGATACGATTCTTCTAAAAATAATCCTTTTTTTCCTACAGAAAAAGTGAGCAAAGAGCACAATCACTCTAAAGATAACACCATTGCAGCTACAACTAGGTAAGTAATATTCATAGTACTGCAGAACAGAGCATGATAAAACAACAAGAGTATTATAATATAGTTATTTGGTCCTGGTGTATTTTGAATCTTATTTTAGCCTTTAAAATGCTGCTTTATATCAAATGGAAACTTAAATGCTGCGAGATCTGGTCAAAGTTAAGCAGTTTTTTTTAATATATCATGGATTTCCATGGAAAATATATAAGTATGAACTCTTAACAAGAATTAGAAGTACATTAATTGAACTGCTTCATGCCTGCTACATTTATGTGATTAATTAACATGTTTTATTTTGGCGTACAATCAGACATTCAATTATAAACTCATAGTATTCAGCAAGCTATGTAAATGAGTCAGTAGGGCTAGCATTGATACCTTCATAATGTGCTTATAAATCATACAATTACAATGGCAGGAGTAGAAAAAAGATCATTATCTACATCCACCTTTTTAAACAAAGGGTGGCAATGAGAGCTCATTCTCTTAGAGCCAAATGACACATTGTGTTTGATGTGCAGCATATTGTTACATCCCTGCTTTTCCTGTAATAAATTTGCAAGTTGCCAAACAACTGTACTAAGATCCCCAGCAGGAGTAAATCATGGACCTGTGGAGTGCAGGACACACCTTACCCCTTAATTTCATGAAGGGGGCATCCATGATCCTATTCAAAAACAACCTATGCTCCTCAGTTTTTCTTCACGAGTTAAGTTAAGTTAACCAACAAAGACAGTGGCCAAAATCCTGTTGCTTAGTGTAGTAAACTGCACCAGATTAGAAACGTTAAATCAATAGGGATTTGGGGAGCCAACTTCTCTGTAAGTTCTAATGAGTGAAATGGGCCTACTTAAGTACAGTTTATTACACTAAACTGTAGGATTTTGGTCAGAGACTTCACCCTATGACTGAAATGGGCCTACTCAAGTACAGTTTATTACACTAAGCTGTAGGATTTTGGTCAGAGACTTCACCCTCTTTGCAGGCAACCAGCTTTGCAGGCAACCAGCTACTGAGCAAACCAACACAATCAGTGTGCTAAAGTAGAAGCATCTAAATCTGAGCATTGTAATGTTGTGTAGCCTGTTCAGATTATTTTTGACACATAAAAGTATGTCTCAATGTCAATGCTTAACAAAATTGAAAGACCCACTCCCAAAAAAACCCCCAAAATGGAAGTCATATAGCTTTGAGATTAACAGATTTATTGTAGTGTAAGCTTCATGTGTTGAAATCCCCTACTTAGAAGAAATTAGTCTAATAAATAAGCTGCATTAAAAGTTGCACAAATTGCTTAGTTAGTAGTACAGTCATGCCCCGCTTAACGATTACCCCGCATTACGACGAATCTGCTTCACGGCGATGTTTTTGCGATCACAATTGCAATTGCAAAATGATGTTTTCAGTGGAGTTTTTTCGCTTTGCGAAGATCGGTTCCCTGCTTTGGGAACTGAATCTTCACATTACGACGATCAAAACAGCTGATCGCCGGGTTTTCAAAATGGCTGCTGGGTGCTCAAAATGGCTCCCCGCTGTGCTTAGGGACGGATTCCTTGCTATACAGGCACCGAAAATGGCTGCCGTATGGAGGATCTTCACTGGACGGTGAGTTTTTAGCCCATTGGAATGCATTAACTGTGTTTTAATGCGTTTCAATGGGTTTTTAATTTTCGCTTTGTTTTCGCTCTACAGCGTTTTCACTGGAATGAATTAACGTCGTTAAGCGAGGCACCACTGTACTACAGCTCCCAGTCCTTCCTGTCACTCTGTAAATAACTACCTCAGAATGTGGGAAATAACTGTGACAAGAACAATTAACTTTAAAAGGTTAAACATAACCCTCATATTAAACATAAGGATGTAAGGAATATACTTGCATATTTTCTTGTCCATAGTGAAAATGAGTGGCGTAACACATTGAGGTACCAGTCAAAAATGGACAAGTGTAAGATTTTTATTTATTGATTGTTGTTTTTTTTTGCTCCTGCAAAAATAGCAGCACTTTTCTCATCAGCACCATTTCCTCTTCATGGTCTCTGTGGATCACACGGCTGGAGTTTGTGCCTGTGCAGAGCCAATCTTCTGAAACCTCCAGAGCTGAGTTTCCTCACTATACAATGTTGGCAGGAGCCCCCCCCCCAATTGTGCATGTATAGCATACCCTAGCAGACTGTCTTCAGTATCTTTCTATCTGCTAAATTTGTTGCATCTTAGAACCTTCATTGAGCTACCATATGGTTATTTTCACTTTCCTTTCTTCCTCCTTATTCTATTTCCCCCTCATATTCAGCTTTTTTCTCTCCCCTGGTTCGTTCTCCCAGTTTTTCCCTCTTGTTTTTTTTCTTCCTTAGTTATTTATTGTATTTTTCCCCTCTACATCCTGTGGTGGGCCTTGCCCAACTCCATGACCACTAAGGGCCTCTTCAGAAAATATATTTTATGCAGTGACACTATCAACCCCACAGCCCATCACACTCAGTGCCTTTTTTTGTCTCGATAAGGCCCACCTCTCTCAGCCTTGCACAATTTGCAAGGGCTTTATGACGCAGGGACTCTGCCTTCACAAGTTCAAACTTCGCTTGTTCCTCTGAGAGCTATTCCTAAGAGCAGCAGAACAAGCAGCATAAAACAGCCTTCACCAAACAGTCTCCCATAACTCTCCCTGAGCATCCAGTTCCACTGGAGGGCATGGGAACATAACTGGCACATCAGTGCCCTGGAGCTTCTCACAGTTTTCAAAATTTTCCTTGGTTTTGTCCATCTGCCTGTAGGGAAAAGGGTTCAAATAGGAACTGACAGTACAACCACCATGCATTATGTAGACAAGTAGGGTGATATACACTCATCTGCTCTGTTGCTGTTGAGACATTTTTTCCACTGGCTGTGTACCTCTCAGGTTCCCAGAACTCTCTTGCCGATGCCCTCAGCAGGATGTCCCACATGGTCCACAAATAAGGACTTCATCCTCTTGCTTTCTGCATTCTGGTGTAGAAATGAGGCAAACCTACCATAGATGTCTTCTCCATGCATCACAACAGAAAGTGCCAGAGGTTCTGCAGCAGAGTGGAGATTGGTCTCTGTTTGAAGAGCGATGTCTTCATAATCCTGTGGACAATTGAGGTTCTCTATTTGTTTCCTCCCATCCCCTTGATTCTTTGAGTAGTAGCCCACCCTTTGATGAGTGAAGGCCTCTGCCATCCTGATCAGTGTGATCACTCTGTGGTAGTTTAGACAGCTCTTTTGTAACCACCTCACAGAGAGTTGCCCATCCTACCATAGCATCTGGACCTTATCTTCCAGGATAATGGCTTGGTTTATCACTGGATATACAGGTCCTGCGACTAATGGAAGTGTTACAGGATGCCAGAAAACCTTCTACCTATCATTCCTACTTGGCAAAATGGAAAACATTTTGTAGGTTTGCCTGAGAGAAACTCTTCTCCCCATGTTCCTGTGATTTTAGTCAAGTTTTTGGTCTCGTTGAAAGAGATCTGTCCTATTCTTCTATCAAGGTGTACCTAGCTGCCATTTCAGCACACTTCATTGATCCACTAGTAGAAAGTCTTTTTCATGGATTTAGAAATCTTACTCCTGGTGTCCGCATGCCCGTTTCTCCTTGGTCCCTTCAACTGGTTTTGGCACAACTGATGTACCCACATTTTGAACCTATGGCTGCCCCTCCTATCTACCTCCTTATGTATAAGATGGCCTTCGTCATCACAGTCACTTCTGCCAGGAGGGCAGCTGAAATATGTGCTTTCCATTCTGACTCCCTCTACCATGTTTTTCATGCTGACAAAGTGGTGCTTTGTCCAGATGAAAGTTTCCTCTAAGGAGTGCACCAGCACGCACATGCCTAACTCTGCTTCTCCCCGCACAGCTTTCCTCCTCCTCCATGCAGTGATTGCTTTCAGCCCTTTTGGTTCCAGTTGCGATGGAACTGTGCACACGGAGGGGCAAGGTTGCACATGCACACAGGGATGAAAGCACGGAAAGAGAGGTGGATCCCTCCCCAGAGGAAACCAGCTGGGCTAAAAATTAGAGGGTACTTTGGTCCAGATGTTTCTTTCTTCCCTAAAGTGGTCTCTTTATTTCACTTGGATCAAAAGGTAGTGCTCCCAGCCTTTTTTCTGCAATCCATCTATGCCTCTAGAGTGCAGCCTGCACACCTTCATGTTAGGGGAAGCCTTCTGTACTTCCAGAATTTTGCAGTCTCCCAATAGTGTGATCCACAGAGATCATGAAGAAGAACAAAATGTTGCTGATCTGTGGTGTAGCTGGGGTTCTTCTAGTGGTCATCTGTGAAGTCACACATCCCACGCACCTCCCCATTGTGTCTACTCTTTTGGATGGTGGAGGGAAGGAGCTTAGTTCTGGAAGGTTCCAAAGATTCGCTCTACACAGGCGCAAACCCCAGTAGTCTGACTCCACAGATGACCACTCAAGGAACCAATTATAGCAAAGGTAAGCAACCTGCCATTCCAAGAAATTTTTAATGAAAAATATTTTTAGTTAAAAATACAAGGCGTTCCTTGTAAAATACAGGCTTTAGCACAAAGAACATTCCTAAAAATTCTTCACAAACTTTTCACAAATACACTGAAGTACAGAAGATACACAAAAACTCTTGTAATCTTGCCTTTTATGAAGTTTTTTTTTTTGAAATTTGTAACTCTTGCCTGTCAGAACAAAATAAACTAAGATTGAAATCTGTGCCTAAGCATATTTTTCCAAGAAGATCTGCCTCATCTTGGAAAACCCATTGGCCATGCTGGCCTGGGGATTCTGGGAATTGTAGCCCCAAAAATGGAGTTTTACAAGATTTGTAGTTTCTCACTAAGAGCAACATGGGAGGAAAATTGCTGTCCATATAAAAAACTACTTGGACAGGATGTGGCAGGCTGTATATTGACATTTACTGCATCATCACCAATTGAATTGCCTTGGCTTGGCCCTGCTACTGGCACATATGCACAAAGCCCAAGCTCTTTGCAATGTGGCACTTCATAAAACCTGATACATGGTGCCATGTCCTCAGATTCTTTTGCATAATCGTCATTCAGCTTCAGGAAAATGCCTTTCTCCATAAAATTCCTTCTGCTGATACTACCAAGAATAGCCTGTAGAAGATATTTATGTAAAATAATGGTTGCTGTATAATGAAGTTATTGCTGTATTGTTGGGATTTTTAACAATGGATTAGATCCAAATGTGGTCAAATCACTGAATGCCAAATTAGTCAGAACAATGTAAGTCTGATTAATTTCAGTGGGATTACTCCAAATACAATTAAACCTGGAACTAACTCTTTTCTTCCCCAAAACATTTTTGGAAAGTATGAGTTTTTCTGTTTTGGTTCATGGTTTGATAAATGGACACTAATAATGATTTGCTAGTAAAGAAATGATGTTGCAAAATTATTGAAAGTGTTTGGTCTGGGTTCTAAAGCATCCTGTATAGACTGTACATTACTTAGCAATGGAATCATAATTAGAAGCAACAAATATATTGAATTATTTTTCCGAATTAGTATTTTATCTGCTTATAAGAAATTTTTTTTCCTCAGCCCCTTTTTTTCTGAAGATACATTTAGACAATCACCATTCACTTCCAACACAAAAGATCTGCTGTCTAATGATACTACTGTTCATGGAAGGACAACAGTAACAGGTAGGAAAAACTATATTGTTAGCAACAGAACAGAAACACAACAGTGAAGTCTTTGTCATGTGACATCTCAAGAGAAGATAGCTCAGAGGTCAAAATGAGACATATAAAACTCATGATTGAGTTTGGAGTGAATTTGATTTAGCATGAATTAATATTATTTGGAAGGTGATGGGGGTCAGCTACTTCAATAGACAAAGCCAATGATAAAAGCTATTTTCATGGATTTCATAATATTACACTTGTAATTTGAATTCTGCAAAAAAAGAAGTATTGGTTGGAAGTTCATCAGGACATAACCTGGAAAAAATGTTGATGGTGTAACATTTACTTTGTTCCCCAATATTTTCAAAAGTTGCTACCAAACTGAAAAGCCAATTCATCTTTCTGGTCTTTGTTCTATATATTAATGTATATAATATTTAAATATTCTAGAGTATGAGGGTGCTGATCTGTATAGCATAAGAGCCCACTAGACAGATAGTATTTTACTGTTGTTATCCGTTTGTATGATTTAAATCTTTACAGGTCTCTGGGCAGGTGTCCAGCTATTAGCTATCCAGTAAAATCAGATAATAAGGTGATAATTGGCACACCTGACAGGTGCTTCGTGTAAAAGCCACCTAAGTTGAAGTGTTTTGTGATGACTCAAAAAATGAGGTTGCATAGTAATTTAAAGTACACTAATACTGTACATCTCTCAGATACAAACCCATTTAATAGGCAGACTAAGACCTTGTCAGAAGCCTCCACCTCTGCATCAAAGCCTGGCCTTGCTATAGATGCTTTAAGTTTAGATTCTCTAGTTGCTGTTAGAATGATGGTTTTCTTTCCTGCGCTGTTACATTCTGTTCTACTCTTTCTAACACTGAGGGAAGGAGGATCTGAAATCTGTCTGTCTGTCAGTAGATCTTTACAAGATCTTATGGTGCTGCCATCTTCTGATTTTAACCCGAGAATTAACTCAAACCAAAAAACACAGGAGGGCAAAGGCAACAGGCGAGGCAACAGCTGTGCAGTTAGAAGTGAAACTTGTGTTAAGATGTAAAGGGCATTTGATGAGCCTCCAAGATTGTTTCACAGTTTTGCAAGTTGCAAATTGACTTTATTTGGAGGGGTTGGGGCGATATATTATTGGGAGGTAAATGGCAGGTATTTTCATGCTGATGAAACAAATACAGTTGCTATGACGAATGCTGCATTGGAACAATAATATTTTAATCACTTTCTAATGGCAGACTTGCCATTTGGCCTGATCCTGCCTTTGGATATGCACCTCTGGTGAGGAAGAAACGGCTCCATTAGGAGCATGATGGCCGTTTTTGTGGCAAAGCTGTGACAAAATACATGAAAGTATTTCTGTAAAACAACAAAAACAAAAACCAGATAGAAAACCCCAGTATCTAAGAGGCTGAATACTGTCAGAGGTGGCAGTGGGCGGCAAGGCTGAATGGTGTGGTAGTGGTGGTTGTAGCAGTGAAAGGGGCAGGAGCTCCTTCTGTGTGATACTCTTACCTGTGGTCCACCACCATCTTCAGTTTTAACATGTTTGTAAGTCCTTTGGCTTTTGTCTGATTATCATATGCACGTTTTGTGTTCTTTTTGTTTTTTTATCTTTCATTAAAATTTTGGAAGAGCAATCTACCTTAGATAAAATAAATCCATTCATAATTCTAAAATACGTATGCTGCTAGGATACAACAATAACTCAGGCCAGATGGCATGCTGAGAACACACTGCACATTTTTTTTTGTCATATCGCAAAGGTGATAGTCTCTGAGAGCAACATAATACATTCTCAGTGCTGATAAGACCAGTTCTCAAGCTAGATTCAGGCAAACAAATCAGCTGCAGTTACCAGTTCAGTATCTTTATTTTTAAAAAATTCTGAAAGAGATAATAATACCATAAAGAGGCACTCCGGGAAATAGGGAAGAACTAGTCAAAGGGGATTTGGGAAAGATTGTGATCTACTAAAAAAGGGGCATATTAGTTTATGCTTAGTTATTATGCTTAGTTGAAAGGAGAGCAAGAAAAACTACACAAAAGCAGTCAGAAGTTCTAAAGTGAAGTGCACCATTTATTTTCCACCACAATAAAAGTGGCTCCAGATTTTACAAACAAATTCTCTGGGAAGCCATTGAGCAGAAAAACTTCCTACACAAAATGTACAGGAGGTGGAAGTGTCAGCTAGCTACTGGAATGTCCCTCAGGGGCAGCAATCCAGATCGCTAACTCAGTACTTTAACAAAGTTCATGGAAAGCAGTGCCAGTCTGAAATTCACAATGAGGCCAAGCGAGATTATCTAGTCATTTTAGTTTACGTAATTCTAGTTTAGGGACGTGGTGGCGCTGCGGGCTAAACCACAGAAGCCTGTGCTGCAGGGTCAAAAGACCAAGCAGTCGTAAGATCGAATCCACGCGACGGAGTGAGCGCCCGTTGCTTGTCCCAGCTTCCGCCAACCTAGTGGTTCGAAAGCATGCAAATGCAAGTAGATAAATAGGGACCACCTCAGTGGGAAGGTAACAGTGTTCCGTGTCTAAGTCACACTGGCCATGTGACCACGGAAGATTGTCTTCGGACAAAACACTGGCTCTATGGCTTGGAAACGGGGATGAGCACCGCCCCCTAGAGTCGAACACGACTGGACAAAAATTGTCAAGGGGAACCTTTACCTTTCCCTTTAATTCTAGTTTGCAGTCTTAATGCTTAATCCTTTATTATCTCCATCTTTCATATTTTCTGTGCATCAGGTCAACAGAGAAGTTAATGTCCAGAAACTAAAATTCAGTTTGTTTTTCAATTTTATTTTTAGTCAGAACATTGTGGACCAATAAATATATTACAGAAGGCTTGAGAATGCCTCCACTGTTCAGTTGTATGTTTTGTTCCTCTCTTAATCCTGGATACTTAATGTTGAATGATGGCCTATATGAAACTGAGGTTTGATGTAATATGTTGGATTAAATGTATGATTTGATGGATAGTTTAGTTTGATGAAGACTATGCAAGCAAATAATTTAATGCCATCTTAAATTAGAATTCTGACCCTCCATGAGTCACTTCATCTAGTAGATCTAGTTGGAAGGAGGTACACATCTTAATGGAAACAAAACTTTGCTTAAAGAAATTATGCTTAACAACCCTTGGTAGCGATGTACATATTAATCTAATCATGTGGCAATGAGTTCCATTGATTGCTTATTTATTCAGAGGGATGTAAAATAATAGTAAAACCTGTGATGTACCTAGTTCTAATACACAGAACTAAAATATAGCATTTATGTTGTACATGAAATATTTGATTTTTTTTGGTTGAAACAATTTTTAACTTCACTGTTCAGCCAAAAATTGTATACCAAATTACAAATAGTACGTTGGACTGCACAGTCAAGGCTTACAAAAATAAATCATTGTTGTTTGTAGTGATTTATTTGTTGAAATTGTGTTGTCTTGATTTGTAATTTGCACCAGGATAGGCCCACTAAATCGCTGGAGATTTGGTGAGTCAACTCCTCTGTAAATTCTATTGATTCAAATGGGCATACAGTAGATTTTAATTATTTTAGCATAGTAAGTTGCAACTAGAGCAGGCCTATTTGAATCAGTGGAATTTATAGAGGAGTTGACTCACCAAATCCCCATTGATTTAATGGGCATACTCTGCTCTGATTTACTGTACTAAGCAACAGGATTTTAGCCTTTGTGTGAATACTTTTCTTAGTCATAAATCTATTATCAGTGGTATGAAATGAGGACCATTGTTGTGCTAATTGTTATAATATTTCTCCTCTATTGTACTCCTGCTTTTCAAATACTGTCTCCCGAAGCAGCTCACATGAGTTTGGAAAAAGGGGTTGGGAGGAGAGACTCTGCTGTACAGGCTGACAGACAGGGAGATGAGGAACACAAGGGGAAAAGGAAGTAAAGGAAAAAGGTACAGGAGGGCATGTGCATCACAAGGAGCAATGGGGAAATTTGCTGGATCCGAATGAGCCATAATTGCTAGATTTCCAGCTTTTGTTTTAAAAAGAAAAAACATGTTTCTAGCCCTTGCAGAACTGAAGATGTTGTTAAGTATCGTCAAGTTGCCTCCAGCTTATGGCAACTCTATGGATGAGTGACAGCCAGAATGTCCTGTCCTCAACACCCCTCCTTAGTTCTTATAAACTCAAGACTGTGGCTTCCTTTATGGAATCAGTCCAGAACTGAAGATATTCAACCCCCATTCTCTGCCTTTCAAAGGCCAGAATCCTACTGGCAATCTAGACTGGAGTGAGTGGAATTATGTAACTCACAGTGACAAACGGGCACTAATTAACAAGATGCTTGTTGTGTTCCTGGGTGCATGCCCAGTTGCGCATTCAGCTGTCTACCCAGGAGTGCAATCGGTACCTTGTTACTTAGTGGCAGGTTGGCGGTGCAACCTACGTGATGATACTCCTGGAAGTGTAAACTGCCAGTAGGTTCTGGCATTGTTTTTAAAATTAGCAGTGACAGTTGAGAAGATCGAGCACTGGGAACTTGATGGGCCATTTTAAAGCTTTTTTTCTCTCCCCTTGTTGGACATGATTGCTGTCCCATTTTAAAAAAAAAAGATTCTTAAAAATCCAAATAAAATTTTATTGATGTTCATGATATCTCTTGTGGGACATGTGAATATAACATTATTTAATTTAAAAAAATGATATTCCATTAAGACTTTTCTGCCTTTCAGCAAGTTCATAACTCTTGTGGCATTTTCTAGAGATCAAGTACTCTGAGGTGATTTACAGTTTCTCTTTCCAGTGGCACTTTGGGACTGTATAGCTTGCCCAGGGCCACTCAGGTGATGGGGAACATAACACAGTCAGCCATACATGTTGTGGGTGATCTTGGCTGGCCTACTCACTAAGACATAGTGGGGGGTTTGAGGTCCCAGCCCCTGGCCCTGCTCCAGCCCACTAACCTGTACAGTTTACTGCTCTCCAATTCCCAGTATTTTCTGCCACTCTTTGTAGAA